TGTAAACAGTCTTCAGAACTTGTAAGCCAAATATACGTCATGTTTTGATTATAGGATCTTGTCAGTCGCCCACATCTTGGTTCTGGTTGTATAAGCAGTAAGAGTCAGCACTTACTTCACACAAATTCTGCCCTGTGTTTGTGCAGCTTTGTATATTTTGAAGTGTTTCAGGATACCCATACTTTGCATTCATGGTTCTCTCAAAAACACTCTGAAGTACCTTTGGAATCATTCTCATTCTCATTCTCATTCTCATTCTCATTCTCATTCTCATTCTCATTCTCATTCGTGAATGAAGAGCAATTTAGGCCACGTTTGTATTTCTGGGAAGTGGCAAAGGCAGCGTCAGAATTTTGAACTCCACTTTTCCCATGAAAAGTAGAGAAACCTGTGGCAGCCTGGATTGGACCCTGGAACAGAGAAACAAAGCTGACATTAGTTTAAAAACTGGTAGCATTGTAATAAAATACGGAATTTCGAGGTTAGCTTTGGTTTAAACGAAGGTACACGGTCATGAATCTACAAACAGAGGGCCACTATGAACAATCTACTTCAGGTTGGGTTCTGAAGGAAGTGGAAGTAAGAATTTTAAGGTGCTGATTCAGTGGTCTGAGAACTACAGGGGGCGTTCAGGAAGAATGTCACCCACAAACAGAAGGTTAGAACCGACGGAAGAGGGGGCGCTAGCGCCCTCCTCTTGCCTGTGGGTCTGCTGTCTTCTCAAAGCTTCCGGTCCCTTGAGATTTCCTCGCTCGGTGAAGCACCCCACAACTTGCTCAGTCGGAAGCCAGGAACTGGTCCCTCCCTCCCAGCGCTCTAGCCAATCAGTTTCCAGCTGCAGCGGCCTCCACCTGCGTTTCTTTATATCTAGTGTAGGTCGCGGGCAACTGCGGCGCTTTCCTACAAGTCTTTCAGCTGGTCTCACCTCTACCTGTCTCGTCCTCCTTCTTCCTGTTCTCTCGGATCATTCCCTCTCCCAGCCCTTTTCTTTCTTTTATTGTAATTTTTTTTTAAAAGTAGAGAAAAATCCGAGAGAAGACAAAAACAAGCAACTGTATTCTAATCATCCCTGATTGACCACTGTTGGTATGTTATTTATTTGCTGTCGTTTTTTTCCTTTGAAGACAAATCACTCTTTCGTTGTTGAAAAGCAAAATGATCAACATTCCTATACAATATTCAAACAAGAAAAAGCACTACAAATATGGGTTTAGAAACCACCTCTACTCTTTTTTTTTTTAATTTTTTTTTTTTTTTTTTGACAGGCAGAGTGGACAGTGAGAGAGAGAGACAGAGAGAAAGGTCTTCCTTTGCCGTTGGTTCACCCTCCAATGGCCGCAGCGGCCGGTGCGCTGCGGCCGGCGCACCGCGCTGATCCGATGGCAGGAGCCAGGAGCCAAGTGCTTCTCCTGGTCTCCCATGGGGTGCAGGGCCCAAGGACTTGGGCCATCCTCCACTGCACTCCCGGGCCACAGCAGAGAGCTGGCCTGGAAGAGGGGCAACTGGGACAGAATCCGGCGCCCCGACTGGGATGCCGGCGCCGCAAGGCGGAGGATTAGCCTAGTGAGCCACGGCGCCGGCCTACCACCTCTACTCTCGTATTGAAGAAGTTATCCCCGTGGAATTGATGTGCAAAGTCCTGGTTGTCTAAGTCACAGAGTGAGCTCTCTGAATGAAAACTCTGCCATCGTCATTTCCATACTGAAATTACTTTAATGTTCTAATCGAATCACGCTAAAATCATCAGGCAAACCCAGTCCCAGAGACAGTCTCTAACACCAGCTGACCACTGCTCTTACGTGAAGAACAGCACAAGACTGGAAAGTTGTCTCTTCCAAGCGGAGCCTAAGAGGACATGAGAACTGAAATATAATGTGCTACCCTGGACGGGATCCTGGAGCAGAAAAGGACATTTGTGGAAAAACTGGGGAAATCTGAATACAATGTGGAATTTAGTGAGCAGAAATGAACCATTGTTGGTTTCTTACTTTTGACAAAAGCAACATGGCCACGGAAGATGTTAACATTCGGGAAAATTGGTGGAAGGATGTAGGGAACTCTGTCCTATCATTGAAATTTTTCTGTACATATAAAATTATTTCACAGCATCAAGGTAAATGTGTACAAATTATACATAACAGATGACTTATAATACATATATAATTATATGTGAGTAGCTGTAGGATACTTCAAAAAGTTCATGGAAAATGAATTAAAAGCCGAATTTATTTTGGTGCAAAGAATTTTGAAATGCATGCATAGGTTTTGTTTTTTTTTTTTTTTTTTTTTTACAGGTAGAGTGGACAGAGAGAGAGAGAGAGACAGAGAGAAAGGTCTTCCTTTTGCTGTTGGTTCACCCTCCAATGGCCGCCGCGGCCGGCACATCGCGCTGATCCAAAGGCAGGAGCCAGGTGCTTCTCCTGGTCTCCCATGGGGTGCAGGGCCCAAGCACTTGGGCCATCCTCCACTGCACTCCCGGGCCACAGCAGAGAGCTGGCCTGGAAGAGGGGCAACCGGGACAGAACCCGGCGCCCCGACCAGGACTAGAACCTGGTGTGCCGGTGCTGCAAGGCGGAGAATTAGCCTATTGAGGCGCGGTGCCGGCCCCAAACATCTTTCTAAACCAGTGCCATGCATAGTTTTTTTTTTTAAATAATTTTCATGAACTTTTTGAAGACCCCCCTGTAGGGGTAGGCTTAAAAAATTTTTGCACCAAAATAAATGTATTTTTAAATTCTATTTTCTGCAAACTTTTGGTAGTGCTCTTACATATATTCAAGACATGTGTGTGCTTGTGTGTGTATGTGCACACTCAATTTGCACAGGAAAAAGAGAATCTACAGTGACAGCTCTTAGCATTTAGGAGGAGGTTTATACTCTTTTTTTCATGGTCCAGGACCCACATTCCTTTCTCTAGTATGCCCTGCCACAAACCCCCCACACTAAGACACCTCCTTCAGTGGACTCGTAGGGAACCACCAATCTAGTCGAGCTCATTATAGTGGATCTACTTCCCTCCTGTTTCCTTTTTCAGCGTCACCTCCCATTTCCCCCCCTCCAGTATTTACTTCCAAATCTCTGTATTCCCTTCCCCTACCACCATCCTGAGGGAGACCACCCCCTCAGCTCGTGGAACTTACTAGCATAGCTTCCCCACTTTTGTCTCCCTCTGCTGCATTCTCCATTCAACAGCTACTATGATCTCTTAAAAGAATCAACTTAATCTTGTGCTTCTTAAAACTTTCAATGGGTTCTCTTTGTTCTTAGAATAAAATCCAAAAAGTCAGGGCTGGCGCTGTGGCACAGAAGGTTAAGTTCCAGTCCTGCCTGCTCTGCTTCTGATCCAGCTATTTTCTATGGCCTGGGAAAGCAACAGAGGATGGCCTAGGCCCTTGGGCCCCTGCACCCACATAGGAGACCTGGAAGAAGCTCCTGGCTTTGGTCTGGCCCAATCCCGGGCATTGCAGCCATTTGGGGGAGTGAACCAGTGGATGGAGGCTCTCTCTGTGTAATTGTTTCAAAATAAATAAATAAATAAATATATTTTTAAAAAAAACAAAAAGCCCTGCAGCCTCATTGCTCCAAGGAGCTCTGGGACAGCATTTCTGTAGCAGACATGAGGCTGGGGTGCAGTGATCAGAGAAGGCATTCTCTCTTCCAGCTGCCTGCTCTTGTCCCATTTTCTTCACTGGTTATGTCCTACTAATGCTCCATCTTGCCAGTCTAGAAGAATTTTCCGTGATCTGTCAACACTCTCATCCTGCTCCCCAACTTCCATTACCAGTTTCTGTCCAGTATGAGTACAGAGATTGCTGTCTCTTCCTGGTTAAGAGCCAGTCTGCCCGGGTTTGACTAGAACTCCTTTACCAGCTGTGTGACCATGGACAAGTGGCTTGGCCTCTCTGTGTCTGTTTTCTCATCAGTGGTGAGGGAGTCTAATTAGTACAGTGTTTAGAACATCTCCTGGCAACAAGTAGGGTTCAGAAATAGCAGTAGCTAGGCTATAATCTGTTCTGTGCCTGCATAACCCTGGACATAAATACAATGAATGTATTATGTTGGCACCACTGGGTCTCCGGTGTCTAACACAAATATTTGTTGAATAACTATAATTTCCTTTGTCTGGAATGCAATTCCAGTCTTTTTTTTTAATTCCTTTCTTTCTTTTCTTCTTCTTCTTTTTTTTTTTAAAGAAATAACAGTGTGTGTATATATATATATATTTTTTTTTTTTTTTGACAGGCAGAGTGGACAGTGAGAGAGAGAGAGACAGAGAGAAAGGTCTTCCTTTACTGTTGGTTCACCCTCCAAATGGCCGCCAGGGCCAGCGCACTGTGGCCGGCGCTGTGCCGATCTGAAGCCAGGAGCCAGGTGCTTCCTCCTGGTCTCCCATGCAGGTGCAGGGCCCAAGCACTTGGGCCATCCTCCACTGCCTTCCCGGGCCACAGTAGAGAGCTGGCCTGGAAGAGGGGCAACTGGGACAGAATCCGGAGCCCCAACTGGGACTAGAACCTGGGGTGCTGGTGCCGCAGGCGGAGGATTAGCCTAGTGAGCTACGGCGCCGGCAACAGTATATCTCTTTTAAAAATTATTTTATTTATTTGAAAGGCAGAGTTGCAGAGAGAGGTTGAGGGAGAGAGAGAGAGAGAGAGATCTTCCATCTACCAGTTCACTCCCCAAGTCACCAGGCTGAAGCCAGGAGCCAGGAGCTTTCTCCGGGTCTCCCTTGTGGGTGCAGGGGCTCAAGGACTTGGGCCATCCTCTGCTGCTTTCCCAGGTACATTAGCAGGGAGCTGGATCAGAAGTGGAGCAGCCAGGAATCGAACCGGTGCCCATATGGGATGCTGGTGCTGCAGACTGGGGCTATTAACTTGTTGTGCCACAATGCTGGCCCCAGCAACAGTGTATCTCGATTAAGGTAAAATGGCATTCAGAATGGATCGCACAGGAAGCCCAACTGTATGCTAACCCTGTCTCTCTCTTCCCTTTTTTCCTCACAGAAAATCCATGTCAGATCCTTGTACCAACCTTGGTACAGGTTCTCTCATTGGACAGTAAGCTCTATTAGCTCAACAGGGGACTGAACACAAATGCACACTAGAGAAGATGAGAGCAAGAAAGAACCTCGGCGCTTGCTCCACCTCCTTCCCAACGGATGAAGATGATACCTAGTCGGTTTCAAAATGGAAGGTCACATGTTTTTTTACATTTCAGAGATATTAAAAAATCAACTCAGAGTGCAGTAGATTGTGAGCAGAGAGAATTTCTTTTTTTAAATATTTTTTAGTCTGCAAATGACAGCTCATCTTGGATCAGAGTGGGCAACTCAGCTGCAGTCTCTCCCAGCTGTGGCACAGTCCCCATGTCCTACAGGGAAGAGCTTCATTGGATGGGTCTGGACTACTGGGACGCCCCACGTGTGACTTCTCCTGGCCGTGGGGGTGGTTTCGAAGCGATTTCCTTCCATTTTGGTTTTCACTCAACAATAGTGAAGAAGGTTCCAGGCATATGACCAGGTAAAGCCAAAACAATTCAGAACCATGTTAATGTAGCAGCTACTTCTAAAAGAGAATATAAAAATTCAGACAAAACAACAAATAAACTAAACAACCACGTTTTTCAAAGCCCCAATATAGTCACAGAAGATTAAAATAAGAGCCAAATTCACTGATTTGTTAGTACTGTGAATTTTATTTATATGAAAGGCAGAAAGAGAGAGAGACAGAGGGGTTCCCATCTGCTGGTTCACTTCTCAAATGCCAGAGAGCTGAGAGCTTAATCCAGATCTCCCACGTGGGAGGCAGGGACCTAAGTGCTCGATCCATAAATTCACTGCCTCCCAGAGGATGTACATTAGCAGGAAGGAGGACCCAGCAGTGAGGCAGCACTGTGATAACTTATATGGGCATTCCAAGATATGTCTTAATCACCGTGCCAAATAGCTACGGAACTTGTGTTTTATACTTAAGTCACTTTTGTAAATAAGACTTCATTTGAGGACATTTTAAAACATTTAATACAGAAACTTTTGTACTTGAAATGTATCTGGGGTGGGCGTTTGGTGGAGCTGCAAAGATGCCGCTAGAGACTTCTGCACCCTATAATCAGAGTACCTGGCTGAGCCCTGGCTCTGCTTCCAGTTCCAGCTTCCTGTTAAACTGCCCTGGGAGGCAGCAGGTGATGGCCAGCTGTTTGGGCCGCTGCCACCTATATAAGAGACTTGGATGGAGTTCCAGGCTCTTGGCTTAGGCCTGACCCAGCCCTGGCTGCTGCAGGCTTTTGGGAGGGATTAATCAGTAGAGAGAAGATCTCTCCTCTTTATTTCTCTGCCTTTCTAAATAATAAGTAAATTAAAAATTACAAAACATGTTCCTCCTACAGGAACCAGATATTCAGGACTGCAACCTTCGTCTTTATTTTTCCCGCTGGCTTCATGGCGGAACCAACAACCCATTGACCTTGGTGAAATGCAGATTTTCAGAGTGTGCAGCCGTGTTTCCATCACGAGTGTGGTACAACACTGCACGTGCACCCGTGTGTTTGGGTGGTGAGCCTGCGATTGAGAGGCGGCCTGCGTTTAGTGGAAGGAGAGTGAGGTGTCACCATTGTCATGTTGTCTGTAGCAGGCAACCTCACCACAGCAGTAGAAGACTTTCTTCAAAGATGAAACCAGCTTAGAGGCCGGCACTGTGGCGCAGCGGGTTAACGCCCTGGCCTGAAGAGCCGGCATCTCATATGGGCGCCGGTTTGAGACTCGGCTACTCCACTTCCAGTCCAGCTCTCTGCTATGGCCTGGGAAAGCAGTAGTAGATGGCCCAAGTCCTTGGAACCCTGCACCTACGTGGGAGACCTGGAAGAAGCTCCTGGCTCCTGGCTTTGGATTGGCTCAGCTCTGGCCTTAGTGGCCAACTGGGGAGTGAACCATTGGATGGAAGACCTCTCTCTCTCTCTCTGCTTCTCCTCTCTCTGTGTAACTCTGACTTTCAAATAAATAAATAAATCTTTTAAAAAAAGATGAAGCCAGCTTAATGATAAAAGATGGCTACCCTGAGGTTTGAAAAGAGTCTTCAGGAAGAGAGTCTGAGAAATTAAAATCTGCAAGTTCCAGCTCTCCCAGCAGGACAAGCGCAGGGCCATATTGAGGCTTTTTTTTTTTTTGGATTTTTTATTTTATTTATTTATTTTTTTGACAGGCAGAGTAGACAGTGAGAGAGAGACAGAGAGAAAGGTCTTCCTTTATTGTTGGTTCACCCTCCAATGGCCACCGCAGCCGGTGCGCTGTGGCTGGCGCTGTGCCGATCCGAAGCCAGGAGCCAGGTGCTTCTCCTGGTCTCCCATGGGGTGCAGGGCCCAAGCACTTGGGCCATCCTTCACTGCACTCCCGGGCCACAGCAGAGAGCTGGCTTGGAAGAGGGGCAACCGGGACAGAATCCGGCGCCCGACTGGGACTAGAACCCCGTGTGCCGGCGCCACAAGGCAGAGGATTAGCCTAGTGAGCCACGGCGCCGGCCCATATTGAGGCTTAATTTCCTTCTAAAGACTTTACACGAGAATTCAGAGTCACAGAGATTTCGACCAGACTGCAAGCCCTGCAGGCAGGCTCCTCAGCAGCAGATGTAAAAAGAGTGGATTGGACAAGATGATGGAGTCAAGTTGGCTAATTCTTCAGGTATTACAGTTTCTTTCATTTTTCAGTCAGTTTGGGGGATTAATTATAAAAGCAAAGAAAATAAGATTTACATGCTAGAATCTTTTTTTTTTTTTTTAGGCACAGTTAGTGAGAGAGAGAGAGAGACAGAGAGAAAGGTCTTCCTTCCATTGGTTCACCCTCAAGTGGCCGCTACGGCCGGCGCATTGCGGCCAGCACACTGCGCAGATCTGAGACCAGGAGCCAGGAGCTTCCTCTGGGTCTCCCACGTGGGTGCAGGGGCCCAAGGACTTGGGACATCCTCCACTGCTTTCCCAGGCCACAGCAGAGAGCTGGACTGGAAGTGGAGCAGCCAGGTTTTGAACCCGTGCCTATATGGGATGCCGGAACTTCAGGCCAGGGCCTTAACCTACTGCGCCACAGCACCGGCCTCACATCCTAGATGTCTTTCCAGGGGACTTACACACAGCTAAGTGAAGACTGGGAAGCAAGATAAGGGCTGGAGCTCCTACAGCTTATTCAAAATGTGCTTGTCTTTTGGTTTTAAAAATTAAAACCAGAGACGGAGAAAAAGAGAGGGGTAAGAGAGGGGTAAGAGAGGGGGAGAGTGAGGCTGAGCTTCCATTTGTGGGTTTATCCACAGGTGCTTGCAGTGGTGGCACTGGACCAGGCTGAGGCTGGGAGCTGGGAACCCAGTCTAGGTCTCCCATGTGTGTGACAGGGACCTAACTACTTGAGCCATCAGGGGTGCATCCTAGGGTGTGTGTGGATAGAGAATTGGAGTCAGGAGTGGAGCCAGGCCTCAAAACTAGGTACTCTGACGTGGGATGTGGGAGTCTTAACTGCTAGGCCATACTCCTGTCCCTGTGTTCATTTTCTTACAGATTTCTCATTTAAAAAAAAAGCTCCTAAGTTAAGTTTTGTGTAGTAAAATGTAATTAATAAGCATATGCTTCTGAGCATGACATGGATCCATGTGATAAATCATCAGCTGTCACTCTGGAATTTTGGTCATATGATACATTGAAAAGTTGATGCAGCTTTTGTTTTGATAAACAGAGCCCCAGTTGTCTGTGTTATTGGGAACTATTGGAAGAAAAATGTAGTGGAGAAAACCCATAAATCTAGAAAAAGCAACAAACCATCTGCATTTTTTTTTAAAAGATTTATTTATTTATTTGAAAGGCAGAGTTACAGAGGCAGAGAGAAAGATAGAGAGAGAGGTCTTCCATCTGCTGGTTCCCTTCCCAATTGGCCGCAACGGCTAGAGCTGAGCCGATCTGAAGCCAGGAGCCAGGAGCTTCTTCTGGGTCTCCCACGTGGGTGCAGGGGCCCAAGGACTTGGGCCATCTACTACTGCTTTCCTAGGCCATAGCAGAGAGCTGGATGGGAAGTCCATTCACATTTTTGATTCTGATACACCAATGGAAGATTAAGAGAGTAGCCATATTACCTAGTGGTAGCCATGGAAACTCAAAATGTGCTTTGTGGGGTGGGCTTTTTCTTGATGCCTAGGACACTGGTTAGGATGCCTGCAGCCTATAGCTGAGTGCCTGCATTCAAGTCTATGCTTCTGATTCTGGCTTCCTGCCAGTGTGTACTGTGGAAGGCAAATGGTGATGACTCAAGTACTTCAGTCTCTGCCACCCATGTGGGAGGCAATTCCAGGGTCCTGGCTTCGAACCAGTCCAGCCCTGGCTGTTGGGGGGCATTTGAGAGGTGGACTAACAGATGGAAAATTTTTCTGTGTCTATCTCTGACTTTCAAATGATAAATGAATGAAAATTAATAAAACAAAAGAAAAACAAATCTGCTTGTGACCCCACAGAAATACTTGCACGAATGCCCAAGGATATAAAAATAAAGACATTTGTTTCTATGTTGCTTATAATAACAAAAATTTGCAAGCATCTCAATTATCTATCAGGACATTAATATGGTATGTGATTTACATCTGTACGGTTACATAGGTGCAACCATAGTATAGACATTAAAATGCCTAACATCTACTATTTGTTAATGAATTGAAAAGACTACTTACTAGTTAAGATGCTAGAGTTAAAGAAGAGGGAACAGGACACTCAAGCTAAGGGTTCTCCTGGAGTTGGTAAGTGGAAAAGGCAAAAAGGAATACATAAGATAATTTCAAGTAGCTGTTTTATCAAGAAACAGAACTGAGTGACAAGGGCATAGAGAGTGACTTAGTCAAGGAAGGCCCAGGATGTGGACTGGGGCTGGGTGACAGGCTGCCCTGGGGACTAAAGTTCTAGGCACACGAAAGCGCATGCAAGCGCTCTCAGGCGGACTGAGTTTGCTGTGCTCCTGCAGAGAGAGAGCCTGTGCAGTTGGCCAACCCCTGATGCACGAGAAGTCCTCAGAAGAGACATCAAGGAGGACTTTGCAGGCCATAGTGAGGACTTTGCATTAATTCTGCATGCAAGGGAGGGACGCCAATGGAGAGATCCAAGCAGGACAGTAACATGATCTAATCATTGCTATAAAAATCAGGCTGGCAATATATGCTGTCCAGGGCTGCCTGGAGGCAGGGGCAGTCATCAGGTGAGAACTTGGACTCTTACCTGAAAGGTGATGGTAACTTGGGCCACGATGCAGGCTGTGGCAATGGCGATAAGTGGATTTACCAGCATTAGAAAATATATATATTTGTTTTTGTTACATTTGAAAGGCACACACACACCCACACCCACACACACACACCTACACACACACACACAGAGAGAGAGAGAGAGAGAGAGAGAGAGAGAGAGAGAGGGACAGGCAAAGAGAGATGCTCCATCCACTGATTTTCTCCTCAAATGCCTGAAATAGCCAGGATTGGGCCAAGCTGGGTCAGAAGCCTGGGACTGGATCCAGGCCTCCCATGTGAATAACAAGGACCCGGGTATTTGAGACGCCACCTGCTGCCTCCCAGGCTGCGCGTTAGCAGAACTGTGGAAATGGCAGCAGAGCTGAGGCTGGGGCGCAGGCACGCAGGTAGGGCATTCAGGCGTTCTCAGTGATGACTTCATCACTGTGCCAAACGCTTGCCCCTGGGTTCTCTCTCACAGAATGATATTGGTTAGACCTTAAGCTTCAAGTTCCTTGACTTGAAATTGAATTTGGGTTCTTGGGGCTGGTGCTGTGGCATAGCGGGTAAAGCCACCACCTGCAGTGCCGGCATCCCATATGGGCACTGATTCGAGTCTCGGCTGCTCCTCTTCTGATCCAGCTCTCTGCTGTGGCCTGGGATAGCAGTAGAAGATGGCCCAAGTCCTTGGGCCCCTGCACCCACACAGGAGACCCGGAGGAAGCTCCTGGCTTCGAATCGGCACAGCTCCAGCTGTTGCAGCTAACTGGGGAGTGAACCAGCAGATGGAAGACTCTGTCTCTCTCTCTCTCTGCCTCTCCTTCTCTCTCTGTGTAACTCTGACCTTAAATAAACTAAATCTTTTTTAAAAAATTTGGGGCCAGCGCCTCGACTCACTAGGCTAATCCTCCACCTATGGCTCCAGCATCCCGGGTTCTAGTCCCGGTTGGGGCGCCGGGTTCTGTCCCGGTTGCCCCTCTTCCAGGCCAGCTCTCTGCTGTGGTCTGGGAGTGCAGTGGAGGATGGCCCAAGTGCTTGGGCCCTGCACCCGCATGGGAGACCAGGAGGAAGCTCCTGGCTCCTGGCTTTGGATTGGCACAGCGCCGGCCGTGACGGCCATTTGGGGGTGAACCAACGGAAGGAAGACCTTTCTCTCTGTCTCTCACTGTCTAACTCTGCCTATCAAAAAAAAAATTGGGGTTCTTAGACCCAAACACTTCATTTTCCTCCTTCGAGTATGGACAGGAGTAATGTTGGCTGTCTCTTTTAGCAGGGGTGTTGTTAAGATTAAACAAGATAAAACCAGTGACAGCATTTGGCAACTGTGAACACGCTGTGCAAATCCAAGGTATTTCTACGGTTAATTCAGAGAGATTGCAGTTGCAAAGTATGGTGGGGGGGTAGGCTCCCTCCTCCCGCAGTCATGTTGACAACATCAGTGAAATCTTCTCAATTTCAGTTTTCAGTTTCAGTAGGCAAAATGCATCTGGTAACACCAGTCAAAGCATAGCATGAAGTGTAATGGGGGGGGGGCAGGGAGGGCCAACTAATTAACAATCACAAAATAACAGGCAAATGAGCTGCTAAACAAGTGATACAGAAAGCGAAGTATTTTCTGACGCCTCTCTGGCACAGGGGAATGATTTCGTGAAGCCAGGATTCTCCCAGGGGTTAAACTCTTCCTGTTTATCAGGGAGCATCTCTGGGGCTACTTGCAATGGCAGGCCTTGGGAGAAAGTGCCAGAAGTCTTGGCTTTTAGTAACCTCTACGTTTCTGAATTGAGACATGGGAAATGGCTAGAACCTTCAAGGAATGTAATTCATTCCTTTCACACTTCAAGAACCACAACTGCAGGGAAGGAATGAGAGCGCCAGTCTTAGGCAAAATTGTTGTGATCAGAAACATATGGTGTGAAATATGGGTGTGAATGGAGACATCCTGTCAATTCACTTCTTGCATTTTTTGATTGCCTTCAAGCAGTGCATTTTAACGGAGGTCCAACTCATGTTTTGAAACTAGCGTTGGGAAGGATTTGAAGAATTTTAAAACATTCCGCACATCTGCCCGCCTTGCCCCCTCCCCCACCTGTTTTTGATGGGGAGCATAAGGTCGGAAGGCGCTTTTCCAGGAAGGGCCAGATGGATAGAAGGGCAGAGAAGGCCTGTATGGTCAATAATGATTTATTAATCCTGAAGCCACACTACAGCATGGCTATTTCTTCTGTTAAAGTCTGATTGACGTCAATGACTTTGAACATGCATACTGATTGCCTTTGAGTTCAATCTTATCTTGGTTTCATCATACCACTCAGCACCTCCCTTTACCTTCAAACAATGGCCCCAGCAAGCCGGTGCTGAGCATGCCCTAGGCTTACTTTCTTAGGGGAAAATTGGGCATTACCTCACTTCCTGAAAACGTGTCCAACAGAAACAGAGCACTTCTCTCTATGAAAAGCAGACAGCAATGTTAACATTTACCAATTTGGTTGGTGATTTGCTCAATTCCAGGACCATAGAATATTTGTAGTAGGGCTAAGTGTGTACCCGGGTATTTTAAGGGAGTCTTTCTTGCTCTTGTACGTATTTTTAGCAAGTGAGAAATAGCGATCTTCCATAGAAAACAGATGTGAGGTTTGCACAAAATTAACACAATTTGGCCTTTGCTAGGCAAAATGGAAGTAGTGAGTGATGCAATATTTCAACTGGAAGATATTTTATAGGACATTAACATAGCGAGTTAGAAGAATGTTCTTTGCAAGCAAAAATATTGGTTCATTAAAAAAAAGCTTGTTGAAATAGAATTGTCCGTAAGTTATTATTGCTATGCCCACGAAAATATTTTCTGTTTAAATTCATAACAAACATTCTAAGGCAGAGAAATGTCTTTTCTATGTCCCATTTAACAATATAATAACCTTGCTTTCAAAATCTCATTTTATTCCAGCTGGAAGACATAGGATTTTGTTATACAAAACAACGACTTCATCTCTACCAAGACTTATTATGGGAATATGTGGTTGTAAGTTTGTCTGGAGGATATAAGGCACAGTCCTTGCCTAGTTTGGACTATGTGCCATGCAGGTAAAGCCTCATTTCAGGGGGATTATGTAGAAGCTATTTCAATAAAGTTATCAGCATAGTTGGTTTCGTAAGACATTTGTAGCTTTCGATAGAATTGTGTTCTTTTCCATCATTCTGCAATGAGATCCCAAATAATTTTATTAATAAGCAATCCATCCCATGCTTAGTAAAAATATGGAAGAAGGATGTGCGGTCAAATTGTGGGCATGTTATTTAAAGTCTGTTTATATATTTTTATTTGTTTGAAAGGCAGAGAGACAGACAAAGGTTCACTCCCCAGTTCAATCCCCACTCTCCAGTGGTTCACTCCCCAAATGGCCACAATGGCTGGAGCTGGCCAGACCAAAGCCAGAAGCTCTGGGGATCCCACATAGGTAACAGAGACTCAACCACTTGAGGCATTAATGGTCTGCTGCCCACTAACCCCAGCCTCCGACCCCACCAACGGATGCATAGTAGCAGGAATGCTATATCAAAAGCAGAGTAGTTGGGATACGGGTGTCCCCGGCAGCAGCTTAACCGGCTGTACCACGATCCCTGCCCAGGCGTGTGCTTTGGGGTGCAGACACTGAAGTTTGAATGTATGACCTTCACAAGGTCACCTGACAGGCGATTCCGTGAAGAGGATGCCCAAGACTATGCAGCTATGACCACACAAATACACTCCTGCCCTGTGAGCTTCCTCCCTGTAGGGCTTGGAGATGCTCCTTCCTCTGACTGAAGCTCACCCTGCTCCTTCCTCTGTCTTCCTCATACAAAACCCTCTTGTCTTGGCATCCCTTCCTCTGAGACGTGATCCGAGCACCTCATCCCTCCAGCTCCTGCTGACTGCGGCGGGCTCTCTATTTGGAACTTCCGTTATGCCTTCAGCTTCTTCATTTGTGTTTCTTCACGGGAAATTTATTGCTGTGTATATCCTTCAAACAAGGACAAGGATCTGGCTGTCATGCCACTACTCTCTACCTAGTTCCTAGCACACGACCTAGGGAATAGCATGAATTCAACTAACAGGTCTCTATTTTGTATAGAATTAATCATGATCCTATTGTCACGAGGCCTTTAGATACTAACTTAGCACTTGTTCAATTGAAAATGGATAGTTGAAAGAAGGAAGAAAAAAAATAACTTCTCAGTTCCCTAATTATATTCCCTTAACTTTTACTTTGTGGATATATTTGCTAAAGATTCTGGTTGTTAGCAATCACTTTATTTAATAAGAATTGCAACTTCCCATCTAACTGAGAAGTTCAAAGAGTGAACTTGGCTTGGAGAACAAATGGATCCAGGAGTTCACATGGTGCATTTACAAGTCCGTCTTTCTTTCTGCTGTTTTCTCACTGTTTTCTTTTGCGTTGACTTCATTCCCCAGGCAGAATTTCCCCATCTAGGGGCACAGTTAGCCACAGGCAGCTTACCTTGTTTGCACAGAGCAGCATCAATGAAAAGAGAGAGCTATTCTCCTCTGAATTCCATAAGCAGCTCTGGAGGCCTGGTTAGCCTTGTTGAGCGTCAAGTCCAGTTGATAGCCAGGGTGGTTAAAACTTCAGCTAACTGGAGGAGTGCTTTCACTGGGTCCTGGTGAGGGAGGCTTCCCACAATAAAGAGGAGTTTGTTACCAGAAAAATAGGGAAGGAGAACATGTTCTGGGCAGACCAAGGCCTTCACTGTCATGGCTCTGTGCCAGGTAAACACCGGGTGTTGTGGGAAGTCATCGCCATTGGTTCGGATTAGACAACTGGATTTTTCCTGACCAGTACAGCCCAGTATTTTTAGCAATGCGTGGAAGCTGGCAGGAGAATGCTTTACACATTTGCTTCTGTCAGGCACTGACTCATTCTCTAACATATTTGTATAAAGGTTTAGAGATACAAGAAGGAGGAGGGCACACAGCAGTAGAGGCCCTGGTGGAAGGTAGGTTCTATTTTGTGTGGGGTGGGGTAAGGAAAGTAGACAAAGACCAAGCAGGGAAGCAAATATGATCATTAAAAGTGGTAAAAAATGCTCTGGGGGAAATCAACTTGGGGGAGTTATCATCTCCTTCATCTTAGTATCTATTTTTTTTTTAAGATTTATTGATTTTATTTGAAAGGCAGAATTGCAGAGAACCATCCTCTGGTTCACTCCCCAAATGGCTGTAACAGCTTGAGCTAGGCCAGGCCAAAGCTGGGAGCCAGGAGCTTCTTCTGAGTCTCCCACATGGGTGCAGGGGCCCAAGCACTTGGGCCATCTTCTGCTGCTTTCCCAGGTGCATTAGCAGGGAGCTGGATCAGAAGTGGAGCAGCCAGGAATAGAACCAGTGCCCATATGGGAGGCTGGCGCTGCAGGTGGTGGCTTAACCTGCTACACCACAGTGCTGGCCCCAGTGTCAATTTTTTCTTTAAAAAAGATTTATTTATTTATTTATTTTAAAGTCAGAGTTACACAGAGAGAGAAGGAGAGGCAGAGAAAGAGAGAGGTCTTCCATCCGCTGGTTCACTCCCCAAATGGCCACAATGTGGGGAGCAGCGCCGATCCAAAGCCAGGAGCCAGGAGATTCTTCCAGGTTTCTCACATGGGTGCAGGAGCCCAAGAACTTGGGCCATCTTCTACTGCTTTCCCAGGCCATAGCAGAGAGATGGATCAGAAGTGGAGCTGCTGGGACTCGAACCGGGGTCCACATGGGATGCTGGCACTGCAGGCAGCAGCTTTACCCGCTACACCACAGCGCCGTCCCTCCTAGTGTCATTTTAAATTAAGTCTATCTTGTTCATCCTATTTAAAATTATAGCCCATTCCATACTGCCTATCTCATTTCCTTTTCCTCCTTTTAAAAATAAAGTTTATGTTTTTATTTATTTAAAAGGCGAGGCGGGGCATAGAAGGAGAGAGAGAGATCTTTCACTTGCTGGTTCACTCCCCAATGGTCACAGTAGCCAGGCCTGGGTTGAAGCCAGGAGTCAGGAACTGAATCCTGATATCTCACATCGTGGCAAGGGCCCACGCACCTGCATCATCTAAGGCTGTCTTCCCAGGCACAGTAGCTGGAAGTTCCATCAGAAGCAGAGCAGCCAGGACTTGAACCAGTGATCCACAATATGGGATGCTGGTGTCACTAAGAGTGGCTTAAGCCCCTGTATCATAACGCCAGCTGTTCTCCTCTTCTTCTTCTTCTTCTTTTTTTCCCTAGCTCCTCTGATCTTCTGACATGCTCTATAATTTACTCATATTTTACCCACAAAGCTTGCATATTTGTTATCTGCCATCCTCCTCTACAAGAATGTGAACCCCACAAGGTGAGAGATTTTATTCCCCCCTGTTTCACTCACTGATATATCTTCCAGGATTTCGGAGACACTCGATACATACTTACTGAGTGAATAGTGAGGTGATAGAAATGTGCCTTAGACACGAAGGGCAGTGAAACCTTCCTTGAGATTATGCGACATGAATAGAGGAGGGATCTTTGAGCCGAAATGAAAGATAGATGCTTCAGTTAGAAACAGAAGCAGAGGGGCGAGCGTTTGGCCTAGAGGTTAAGATGCTGTTGGAATACCTGCATCCCCTGTCAGAGCGCCTGGGTTTGAGTCCTGGTTTCACGCCTGATTCCCGCTTCCTGGGAGGTAGCAGGTGATGGCTCAAGTGACTGGATCCCTGCCATTCTTGTGGGAGGCCTGGATTAGATTTCTGGCTCTCAAATGGTCCACCTCTGGCCATTGTGGACATTTGAGGAGTGAACCAGCAAATGGGGACTCTATCTGTTTCCATCTCTTAAGTATATATATAGATTTTTCACAAGCATATAGAAGGAAAGAACTTGGAGAACTCAAGAAACAAGACAAAGATTGGTGCATAGAGGAGTGAGTGGCATCAATAAAGTTGGAATAAATGTGTAGGAGTTGGATCACCCATGGCTCTGTAGGTTGTGTAAGGAGTTCAGATTCTTACTGTAGTTTGATGGAAAACATTTAGTTGTTCTGAATTGAGGAAGCACAGGATCTGAATGCATTTTTCTCTAGTGTTAATTTTTAAAAAAATTTTTAAAAAGATTTATTTTTTTTTATTTATTTGAAAGAGTTACAGAGAGAGGAGGAGAGACAGCAAAAGAGAGATCTTCCATCCACTGATTCACTCCCCAAATGGCCACAACTGCTGGGGCTGAGGCAGGAGTCAGGAGCTTCTTCCAGGTCTCCCATGTGGGTGCAGGGGCCCAGGGACTTGGGTCATCTTCTACTGCTTTCCCAGGTGCATCAGTAGGCAGCTAGATCAAAAATAGAGCAGGCAGGTCTTGAACCAGCACCCATTTGGGATGCCAGAATCATATCATAGGTGGAGATTTAACCTGCTAAGCCACAATGCTGGCCCCTCTCTAATGTTTCCTGAATCAGTCTAGAGTTTTCTTGTCTAAGCCACCTTCACTTCTCCCCTCAATTACATTGAATGGGCTTTTTCTCTTCCATCTTCCCCAATCCTCCCCTACTGGTCATTCATCACTGAGACCCAGAATGCTTCCCTGTTGTCCCTCAGACAAAGACCAAGTCCTCCTGAGGCCACAAGGGAGGCCCTGACTGTCTGCCTCTCCCATTCTCTGTGGCCACAATGCCCTGCAGCCTTGGTGTGTTTGCTCGAACACAACAGATTGCCTCCCAGGCTCCTCTCCTGCCCCCTGCACCTGCTCCCTGCCGCCTCTCACTCCCGGCTTCTTCAAGCACCCCTTCCTCAGGGAGCACTTCCTTGCTCACTCACCGAACCACTATTCTGGTCCTGCTTTCACCACGTGTGAAGCTTTTCTTCGATAACATTGTGGAGGTACTTGACTAGTTACCTTTTTAATGCATTCATCCTCCTACACTCTCATTCCCATGAAAGCCAGGCCTGTGTCTATGAGATCCGCCACCCAGCACTGTACCTGCTTGTTGGTGCTGACTTCTTAGTGACAGATGGACAGAGTACATTAAATAGAAGAGCTAAAGCAAAAGTCAGTTAGATGGACATCTGAGTTAATTCACTATTCATTTATAGACTTTTTCTGTCGCACCCCTGCTATCCTGTTCATTCTATTTCCTTGCCTGTAGCATCTTCTTTTCCATTACACCGTGCCTTTTCTGCTTCAGCCTGGTCCAGCTGTCTTTGTTCACCCACTTTTGTTTTACAGTGATAATGCCATCTCCTTTGTCAGGACCACGTCTGCTTACACATGGTGACAGTGCTGTTGTTACAGCTTCCTCCTGCCTTGGGAGCAGTGGCCCTCTTGGAAACAAGTGGTCAAGTTAATGAAGTCTTTCAGCAGATGTGTGATTATGTGACCCCTCTTCCAGAATAGATGGCTAGCTTTACCACGGTAAGGAAAGTGATTCCTCCTGGGCTTCTAGGGCTTGGGTAAGTCTCTCTGCACCCCTGCCATCAGGGGCAAAACCTGGTCAGCTGTGAGCCTAGTGCTCCTCACTGCAATGGTTCAGGCAGAGGTAGTGCCTGTCAATGAGAGACCTGGAAAAACCCAGGCTCTGAGGCAGAAGGTCAGGGTTATTATTTTTCAAGGAGAAAAGTCAAAATCATTTTAGTAAGACAAATTCTCATGAAAACCAAGTTGGAAAGGGCTTTAACTTCAGCAGCTAAGGTAGATGGGCACTGATGCCTGCTCCTTTTGTCCAGAATTTGCAAGCTCCCTTAGACAGAGTCAATAGGAGTCCATTGGCACCCAGCAGAAGTGAAGGAATTGGCCACTCCGAACAGGACCAGGACTGTGGAGAGGGGTGGCAGGTCCTCCAGCAGGGGCTGCGAGAGCGGATGGAGAAGACTGTCGGGAGATACAGAGGTCAGGAAACAAGAAGTTAGCCTTGCTTAGGGGTCAGGTTGCTTCCGTGTGGCCCAGCCACGGGCTTCACAATCACTCAGCCCGTGGGAGCCCATAGTGCAGTTTCACGTGTTTCGCCCTTAACCACCGAGCACGGGTAAAGAGGAAACCTGTGTGGTGAGAAGGGCCAGCCCCGACTTCTAACAAAGAGCTTTTTAATGAAGCTGTAAACCGGGTGAATCATAGCCCCCAGCTTCTCTTTTCGTCTCCTGTGTGATGTCAGTCCTCCTGTTTGTCTCTGAGCTCATCTGATCATGTTTAACTAGTTGTCCAAATTAACCCAACTCCTCAGACATTCCAAGTGAGTTTTTGTGAACACTTAATATTTCATTTCAGATTTCCACGCTGGATACGTGTGTGTCACCACTAACAATGCAGCCGACTGTTTGAGCCCTGGCGATGGTGTCTGTTCGGGAACAGACTTGTGACCCGTGGGTGCCCTGGAGATCAGTGGGCGACTCTTCTGTCTCAGTGGTTTCTCTACTGTTTTGCTTAAAGTTTTTAAAACAAAACCTTGTCTGTGGGAGGGTGATTATAGCAAGGAACCCTTGAAATCATTGAATGTTTCAACTGAACTGTTTTGGCTGTTGGATCTGAAAAAAGTGAAGGAATGACATTGGCATTTGGTGTTTGGAAGAAAACATAGACTAGAACTATTACCAATAAAAGGTCTGGTCCAGTTTTTTTAAGCTATCAATTAATTTCCTACTCATTCATAGCCTTGGAATGAATAGGTGACATTTCACAGTATCCATAATAGAAGTGACATTTTGTCATCCAAAAGTTTTGCATAGCTTCATTCTATATTTCTGCACATGTTAAAACTTAGTTTGTGGTAAAATGGAGTATTTCCTCCTGTATTCTCTGATATGATGGCAGTAGACTAAAAAGTGAAATTTTGGGTTTTATTACAATAGAGCACGAAGGACGATGACTAACTCTCCTTATTTGGAGAGCAGGAAGTGGTCTAGAATTGAGATCCAAAAACATCAAATCTGTTTGATGTTACTAGTAGTGACCTGCCTTGATGTGGCTTCTTCAGATGCAACTAGAGCTAAACATTGTGACATCAGAAAGTAGTGGGAGCGCTTGAGCAGCATTAGTCAGAACCTGCTACCTGCAGGCCCAGGATCTGAGGTTCCTGTTCCCAGGAGAACCGCCTGGCCTCACACAGGGCCTCTGTAACGCTCAGTGTTTGCAGCAAACCGACACAAAGGTGGCCGGAGAAGGCTGGACATTTGGGAAAGTACCATTTTGAGTATTCTTTCCTTTAAAAAATTATTTTACTTTTATTTGAAAGAGAGAGAGAGAGAGAGAGAGATCTTCTATTCTCTGATTCACCCCCCAAATACTTGCAATGGCTGGAACTAGACCAGGCTGAAGCCAGGACCTGGGAACTCAATACAGTCTCCCACATAGGTGGGAAAGACCAAACTACTCGAGTCATCGTCAGCTACCTCCCAGAATGTGTGTCAGCCAGAAATGGAGTCAGGAGGGGAGGCAATGCTCCAGTCCAGGGACTCCAGCATGGGATGTGGGCATCTCAAGCACTCTTCCTTCTTCTTCTTCTTCTTCTTCTTCTTCTTAAGATTCATTCATGTATTTATTTGAAAGGCAGAATGACAGAGAGAGAGAGAGAGAGGGAGAGAGCGAGCACGACCTTCCACCTGCTGCTCCAAATGACCACAACAGCCAGGTCTGGGTCAGTTCAGAGCTGTAATCCAAGAACACCATCTGGGTCTCCCACATGGGTGGCAGGGGCCCAAGCAACTGGGCCTTCTTCCAGTGCCTTCTCAGATGTATTAGCAGGAAGCTGGATCAGAAATAGAGTAGCCAGGCCTCAGACGGGAACTGATACGGGATGCTGGGTCACGAGTGCTGGCTTAACCCACTGTGCACAACGCCAAAGCCAGAGGGTTCTTTCTGAGCCATTACATGCCTTTGCTTGAGCTCTGTAGCCTCTTCACTAATCTAACAGTGTTTCTGTTCTGTCAACTCCTTGAGTGAATAAGAGAAAAGCAATTTTTGGTTCACTGACATCTGCATCAGGACTACGTAATGTTTGTTAAAGATGCCCAAGTCCTGTGCTCTATACTGACCAGGCAAATCTAAGTGTTAGACATGCATCAATTGAGATAAACCAGTGCCGGCACTGTTGTATAGCAGTAAGCTGCCACCTGCCAGTGCCGGCATCCCCATATAGGGGTACAGTTGAGTCCTGGCTGCTCCACTTCTGATCCAGCTCTCTGCTGTGGCCTGGGAAAGCAGTGGAGGATGGCCCAGGTGCTTGGGTACCTGTTCCACATGGGAGACCTGGAAGAAGCTCCTGGCTCCCAGCTTTGGATTGGCTCAGCTCCGGCCACTGCAGCTGTTTGAGGAGTGAACCAGCGGATAGAAGATCTCTTTCTCTCTCTCCCTTTCTACCTCTCTCTTTGCAACTCTGCCTTTCAAATAAATAAATAAGTAAATAAGTAAATCTTTTTTTAAATGGAGATAAACAACAACAACAACAACAAGCCCCTAATTAGTGGGGACCACTAATCTCTAGTTTCAGAACTGTAGCCTCATACGTTATGAATGCTTTTGCTGACATTCACGTATTACCTGAATTAGCTTGAATGAAAATGGGAGCTGATGACGTCAAACACTCTCAGTATGTGTTTCTGTTTAAAGAATTGGTTAAAAAGAATATGACAATTCCAGTTAAAAGAAAAATATCCTTTATTTTCGCCTCCCGTGTACAAGAGCAGAATATTCCAGACCAGTGGTTCTCAAACTCAGCAGTGCATTAGAGTCACCCAGAAGTTTGGCACGAATACAGACTTCTGGGCCTCACCCCTGGAGTTTGATTCAGTAGGTCTGGGGTGAGCCCTAGACGTCACATTGCTTACAATGTCCCATAGGTTTCGGTGTACCCACAGGTTTTTTGTCAGGGCTGCCCTGACAAAATACCACCGACTGGACATCTTAATTCATGAAATTTTCCCGTCTCACACTTTTAGAGGATGGAAGTTCAAGATCGAGGTGGAGTGAGGATCGGTTTCTTGGAGGCCTGCCTTGGTCTTGCAGGTGGCTGCCTTTTCATATGGTCATCTCCATGGGCACCCATCGTTCTGTGCATCTCTTCCGTGTCCAGATGTCTACTGCTGAGAAGAACACCCGCCAGCTTGCATGGGGGCCCACCCTCATCTCTCCTAACGCATCATCTCTTTTTAAGGCCCCCACTCCAAGTGCAGTCACCTTCTGAGGGTTTGGAGGTTAGTGCTTCAAGATATGAATTTTGAGGGGACAACATAGAATGCTGAGGCAAGACCCACACTTTGATAACACTGCTGTGGACTGAACAATCCAGGCAGGGAACTGTCTTGTTAGCATTCGCGTTTCAGTCTTCTTAGATAATTTATGACCTTCAATTCTTCCTGCCACCTTTCCCGTGATGGTCCCTGCTACTTCTCCACTAGAATTATTATCCTTTGCAGATATGTTTACAGTCTTCAGCCAACTTCTCTCTGTGCTCAGTGACTAAGTGTGTGTCAGACGGGAACCTTGGTGTCTTGCCAGCAGCTCACGCTCAATTCATTCAGACAAGAGCTGATCTTGGCCATTACAGCTTTGCTGTTCCTCCTGTAACCCCGATTCTGTTTCTGACATGACCACTAACCAGACATTTAGATGGGCCTATGCGGCCATATTTCCTATTATCCTTTTTTTCTGCTTGCTGTGTCTTGTCATCAAATGAGCTGTATCTACTCTTTTCAAAATTTTATTTGAAGAAGAGAGAGAGAGAGAAAGAAATCTCCTGGTTCACTCAGCAGCTGCCTGCAGCAGCTGGGACAGGGCCAGTTTGAAGTCAGGAGCTGGGAACTCAACCCAGGCCTCTCACATAGTTGGCAGGGACCCAAGTACTTGAGCCATCACCCGCTGCCTCCCGGGGTGTGCGACAGTAGGGCGCTGGAATTGGGAGCCAAGCTAAGACTCAAACCCAGACACTCAGAAATGGGTCGCGGGTGTCGCAGGCTGTGACCTGACAGCCGTGCAAACGCTCTCCCCGGCAAGTACGTTGTGATTCTCTGTCCCGTCTCCTTTCCATTTCTCATGCATCCATCTTTGCTTAGATCCCATTAATCCTTCCTAGCATTTTGCAAAAGCCTTCCAGCCATAACGCGTTCTTTCAATCTCTCCTTCCTTTAATGAAGACTGTCTATTGCTGCTGGAGTAATCCTTTGAAAGCTTTCTTCTAATTAAAAAGTTCAAGGGTTTGCCCACTGCCTGTTCAATAGGCAACACACTTAGCTAGACAGAACCTCATGGTTTGGTTACCAAAAGGAGCGAGTTAGTAAACTCTCATTCTCTGCCAGTCTGCTTGCCTGCTCTGCTAACTCCCAAATACTCACGTACATCTCTACTCTCATTCCCAGGACCCCTCACCCTTCCCCAATGAGGTCACCCTAAAATGCAATGCAGTTTCAATCTCTAGCTCAAGGTTGAGATTTCTGTGTGTTGTATAGTTGCCTGTCTAAGATCTTTGGCAGGGAAAAAAAATGATCTGTCCATCACAACCAGTATTCAATTGTGGAGTAGGAACACAGTGATTACAATGTAATACCCATATGAAAAAGGGAAAAATCAGGGGGCTGGCACTGTGGCACAGTGGGTTAAGCCACTGCCTGTAATGCCTGCATCCTTTATGGGCACTTGTTCGAGACCAAGCTGCTCTACTTCTGATCTGTCTCCCTGCTAATGGGCCTGGGAAAGCAGTGGAAGAGGCCCAAGTGTTTGGGCTCCTGCCATCCATGTCAGAGATCTGTATAGAGTTTCAGGCTCCTTGCTTCAGCTTCACCCAATCCTGGCCGTTGCAGATTCCAGCCATCTGGGGAGCGAACCAGTGGATGGAAGATTGATCCCTCTCTCTCCCTCTCTCTCCTTCTCTCTTTGTAACTCTTTCAAATAAATAAAATAAATCCTTTAAATAAAAATAAGAAAAGGGGAAAATCAGAGATAGTAGGCCATAGCTATTTTATTAATTTATTTTTATTTTAGAGGCAGAGAGACAGACAGGCTGGGTCAGATCAAAGTCTGAGGTTGAAACTCAGTCCACACGGGGGGACTCCATTACTTGCACCATCTTATGCTGCCTCCCATGGTCAACACTGGCAAGAAGCTGGAACTAAGAGCAGAGTCAGAACTCAAGCCCTCAAACCCCGGCGCTCTGATATGGGCATTGCAACTGACATCTTCATGGCTAGGCCAAATGCTTGTTTTAAATCATGCTGGGCTGGAGAAGTGATGATTCAAGCCTAGGCAATGGAAGGATTTCCATGTGTACTGTCCTCGATGCTTCTCGGCTTTCCCTCTGGGAGGCCCTTCCTGGTCTCCTCTGCTGCATGGTCTCTCCAAGGGGAGCACTAGCGAGTGTACCTTTCAGAAGGCTGCACTCACACTTGGCCTCTTCGGGGCCTAAGGATGATGTTGGCCTTCAGTGTCATTGGCCAAGGGGACTTTCAACCTACTTGCCGCTGTTCCATTCTGTATGTGGGTAACCAGGTCTTGGCTTCATATAGTGTTAAGTCTCAAGACAGCTTCCTTCCAAACAGGTCTCTGGCCATGGCTTATGGTAGATTCACTTCAGAATAAGGAAGTAGCCCACCTTTTTCACTAAAACTGCTCCAAACCAGACTCTCTGTTAGCTCACTTGCTGGGGGTGGGTTCTTGGAGAACCTGCACGTCCACGTTCCCTGCTGGCAGACTGGCTGGCTGTACTTTGGGTTCATCACTTTTGTGTCAGATTTTGTTGAGATTGGCAAGAATCTGCTAACACATGGCCACATTCTGCAAATGGCCTATCATTTTCACTAACGCCATGGCCTTTGTTGGCATCTCCCATGGTTTAGGCACTGCTTTCTCAGGATCATCAACTCCAAAAACTGTAATAGTTTATCTTTGCTAGTGCCACTCAACTGTTTCAATGAGTTCTACATTTACCAATGCAGCAGCCCCTTTAAGTAGCAAATTCTTTTTTTTTTTTTTTTTTTGATAGGCAGAGTTAGACAGTGAGAGAGAGAGACAGAGAGAAAGGTCTTCCTTCCGTTGGATCACCCCGCAAATGGCTGCTACGGCCAGCACGCTGCACCAATCTGAAGCCAGGAGGCAGGCGCTTCTCCTGGTCTCCCATGCGGGTGCAGGGCCCAAGGACTTGGGCCATCCTCCACTGCCTTCCCGGGCCACAGCAGAGAGCTGGACTGGAAAAGGAGCATTCGGGACAGAATCCGGCACCCCGACAGGGACTAGAACCCGGGGTGCCGGCGCCATAGGCAGAGGATTAGCCAAGTGAGCCACAGCACCGGCCTTAAGTAGCAAATTCTATAAGGCTCACAGTGATACTAGTGTTTCTGGGTCTTCTGGCTTCCCTCTCCAACTGCTAATAGTAAGGACATTAACCTTGTGGTTCAAGATGACTGCTGGAAGTCCAGCCATCGCATCCCCTTTCCCTACACACAGATACAGGCAAGGAGAGAAGTGTATACCCTTTCCCTTTTACTGAGATTTTCAGGGCATTCATTATGTCTGAATAGTAAAGATTTAGTCGATCAAACTCAACTCTATGACAGGCTCAAATATAGTCTTTTAGTTGGGCAGATGTATTCAGTTATTTATCAGGGTTCTGTTATTAAAGCAAAAACAAAGGTAGATGCTGGGATAGGAAACCAAGACTTTTGATCTTTGGTGAATCTGTACGTGATAATAAAACAAGGTGAAGAGCTTTACATGCCTTAAGGGAGGTTTAGGTAGGTTTCAGTGGGAATTCAGTGAAGGGAGAGGAAGTCCCCATTCAGAGGGACACGGAGGGCTTTCAGAAGAAGGTAGCAGTTGAGTTCAGTTGTAAAGAAAGAATAAGAGAGAAGTAAGGCATTCAAGTTGGAGAACCACCATGATTAAAGACAGTTTTTAATTTATTATTATTTTAAAAAGATTATTTGAAAGAGAGGAGAGAGAGAGAGAGAGAGAGAGAGATAGATCTTCCATTGGTTGGTTCACTCTCCAAATGGCTGTTATGATTGAGGTTGGACCAAACTGAATCCAGGAGCCTGGAACTCCATCCAGGTTTCCAACATGAAT